CTGCTGCCTGTCCTGCAGCACCGGCTATGTCCTCCCTGCCTGCCTCTGGGGCAGGCGTGCAGAGGATCCTGCATCCCTCCGGCCATGCCCACTGCCAGAATAAATAGAAAGTGTTTGTTGGCTTGGCAGCCCCTCCACAAAAGCCGTATTGAACCATTATTCCCCACGTCGGCTGCAAGCACTAAAAGTGGCGCCTCGCGTTCTGCCATCTAATGACCCTTCGAAGTCTCCTACAGATGTTTTCTATGACTTACAGCTCCTTTTCCAACAGCCCTGTCCGCAAAAACAAGAGGGGCCACTTTAATTCCAATTAAATACCTCCAGCTAAGCAAACAGTGTGCAGCAGGGCCTGGGCATGGTGCAGCCGCCAGGCCCGGCCCACGGAGTCACTGAGTCTAGACTCCAGATGTGATTTCACCAGCCTCCAGTGTCCCGTGGAAAACGATTCTGGCTCTGCCGCGGGGTGCAGCACCCTGCACCAAGCCGGGGTTCAGCTCGCCGTGATGCTGCCTACCCCATGGTGCAGATCTGGCACCGCATCCTGCAAGGCTCTGCATCCTCCGCAGCGTGGGGTGGTGGGAGCCTGATGCCACAGTGGCCTCACACTCGTCCCCATGCAGCCTCCGGAGCCCCCTCAGCGTGCAGGAGCAGGCTGAGGGTTGCATATGGTACCCCCAGCCCTGGCATCGCCCTCCTGCCTCCCTGCTGCCCCGCAGAGCTCGGGGATGCTCGTGCCAGCTGTACGTGTGGTGGGAGCACGGCAGTGAGCCAGGAGTTTTCCCAGGGCCTGGGGCTGCGGGGAGCGGAAGACCTGGGGAGGGGAAAACGGGGTCACCCCTCACCCTGCCCGGCCGATAAGCTGGGGCCGGGCTGGAGGAAGGAAGCGTGCCGGGCCCTGCAAGGAGCCGCCAGCAGAGCCGGCGCCTTGGTGGCCCCGGGCTCGCTCGCCTGCTGCACCTGGGCTCTGCAGCACCTCCGCTCCGGCCACATGGCTCCACTCTGTCTGGGCTGCTGCTGGGCCACCTTCCCCTCACTGCGGGGTCCCTCCGGCTTGGGGGGGCTACGGAAACATGAACACACCGGCTCCGGCAGGAAACCTCCATCCATGGAGCTGGGCCCAGCAGGGGCTGGGGCTGGAGCCAGCCTGTCCTGCTTGCCGGCAGCCGTGGGGTTTGGGGTGATCCCCCCTACCCACAGCCACTCAGGGCAGCGATGTAGGTGGCCGCTAGCGGAGGGAGCCCCTGGGTACCCTCCCCTCATGCCAAGCTCCTGCCAGGGGTTGCAGCAGGGTGAAATGGACTGAGCTGGAGGTGCACATGGGGCACTCCTGGGTGCAAACGTCAGGCAGTGGGATGCTGGTTTCACGGGTGGGGAGTGCTGGTGCCTGGGGCAGAGGGGGGACGTTGGGGCTGCTCATCCCCAGAACCCTCCGGGAGCGTCCCCACCCTGGCCGGGA